ATAACATGAAAAACCAAAATAACATATCCCCACCAAGTACCAATAGTCCTCTAGAGGATTACAATGAGAACTGCCTAGAGATAACACAAGACATGGAACTCAAAAGAACAATTATAAACATGATAAAAAAATTCAGTGACTTTAAAGAACACACACAAAAAAATCAAAGTACTGAAGGAAGATAGGGACAAATGTCTGAATAAATTCAGAAAAGAGTTAGAAATATTGAAGAATACTCAGGCTGAAATGAAGACGAAAGTGAAACTCTCAGTAAGCCAATTAGAAACGACAGGAGAAAACCTCACCAATAGGATGAACAAAATGGAAAACAGTATCAAGACTGGAAGATAAAGTGGGCGAAGTAGACCACTTAAGCAAAGATTATGAAAAATTTAAGAAATCACAAGAACGGAATATGCAGGAACTGTGTGATACCATAAAAAGACCAAACTTACAAATCATAGGCATACAGGAAGGAGAAGAATCCTAAGATAATGGCATGGACCAGATCTTCAACAGAATCATGGAAGAAAAGTTCCCAAAATTAAAGAAAGACATGCCCATACAAATACAAGAAGCATATAGAACACCAAACAGACAGGACCAGAAAAGAAACACACCACAGCACATCATAGTAAAAACACTAAACGTACAAAACAAAGAGACAATATTGAATGCTGCAAAAGAGAAACAAGTCACATAGAGAGTTCTGGAAGCAATAAAAAGAGCTGAAGAAAGAAATGACTATACCCAAGGGGTTGCGGAAAGAAATTCAATGAAGGTATAGCTGTGGAAAAGTAAAGCTATATCAAGAATGTAAAAAGAAATAAAAATGACAGGACTCAATACTCATCTTTCATTAACAAGGAGTATAACTGTGGAAAAGCACAGCTATATTGAGAATGTAAACAGAAATAAAAATGACAGGACTCAATACTCATCTTTCATTAATAACTTTAAATATTAATATGGACTGAACTCTCCAGTCAAAAGATACAGACTAGGTGAATGGAATAAGAAACAAAACCCATCTTTTTGCTGTCTGCAAGAAACTCATCTAACTATCAAGGACAGACACTATCTCAAAGTGAAAGGATGGAAAAAAACATACCAAGCAAATGGCACTAAGAAAAAAAAGCAGGTTTATCAATTCTAATATCTTACAAAATAGACTTTAAAATAAAACTAATCAGAAGAGACAAAGAGGGCCACTTCATTTCGATCAAAGGAACAATGAATCAAGAAGATATTACAATCATGAACATATATTCACCAAACTCTGGTGCACCCAACTTCATAAAAACAATACTACAGGACTTTAAGACCCAGATTATTCCCAACTCATGAATAGTAGGGAACTTCAATACTCCACTGTCTCCATTAGATAGGTCAACAGGGCAGAGAGTTAAAAGAGAGGCATCTGAATTAAACAATACCATATATCAAATGGATTTGACAGACATTTACCCAGCATTCCACCGAAGCTCCAAAGGGCATATTTTCTACTCAGCACCCCAGGGAATCTACTCCAAAATTGATCATATGAGGGGCACAAAACAAACCTCAACAAATACAAAAAGATTGAAATAATTCCATGCATTTTATCAGACCACAATGCAATAAAGCTTACAATCAACACCGGAAGAAGCCCTAATCACCACGGGAACACATGGAGATTAAACAACACACTCCGGAATGATGAATGGATCAAAAGACAAACAGAAATTAAGAAAGAAATAAATGTATTCCTGGAACTAAATGAAAAGGACAATACAACACAACAAAACGTCTGGGACACGCTGAAAGCTGTCCTTAGAGGGAAGTTTATAGCTCTAAGTGCCTACATCAAAAATTCAGAAAGAACACAAATAAATGACTCAACTTTGCAAGCCCAACACACTTGAAAAGCAACAGCAAACAAAACCAAAACCAGCAGACAAGAAGAAATAACAAAAATCAGGGCAGAAATTAATGAAATTGAAACAAAGAAACCAATGCAAATAAA